AGGGTCCCCTATCATGGGCAGAACATGAGCGCTGGACCCGCCCCTTCCTTTATTTTGGTTGTTTTTGTTGTCATTAGTTTTATACGGCCGTGTGCATACTAGACAAGGGCTTGTCCACTCATTAACTACAGCCCCAGCTCATCTGAGAGTGATTGATTACTACAGCCAGGCAGGCCTTGCGGAGCTTGGATACTTAGGTCTTTCCTAGATGCAGCAGGATAGTCTCATATCACCCAAACTAGCAGCCACCATCATTGAGTGTGCCTCCTATGCTAAGCATGGAACCCCCACCCCGCCCACACACTTCATCTTTCAGCTAGCCCCAGCCAAGTGGCCCCAAACCCAGCGGGCAGGCCCTGTTACTCTCCCCACTCATATGGCTCAGAGAGGCCCAAATGCTTGCACAGGGGTTGGAGGTATATCTCAGTGAGTGTTAACAAAAACAGAAGCCTGAACAAGGCCACCGGGGTCATCAGATGTGGATTAGAGCCTGGTAGGCCAGTCCCCGCTTTACTGGCAGGTTGTCCTCAAACTCAATATGAAGATGATGATGATGATGACCTTGAATTGATCCTCCTGCCTCTACTCAAGTATTGGGATGACAGGCATGCACCATCACACCTGGTTTTATGCAGTGCTGAATATGGAACCCAGATACTAGGTAAGGCCTCTACCAAATGGGCTACATCCATAACCCCTATAATTCTTTTTGTTGTTATTTTTGGGGTGTGAGAGTGTGGGGGGGTGTGAATATTTGTGCACTTGCATACAGATAAAATTGCATACTCTCAAAAATGCGACTGGAAAATGAGAGAGCATATGGATGGAAATCCATGGCAAAAATCATATTCAATAGCTGGCCAGTGGTGGCACACGCCTTTAATCCCAGCACCCGGGAGGGAGAAGCAGGTGAATCTCTGAGTTCAAGGCCAGCCTAGTCAACAAAGTAAGTTCCAGGACAGCCAGGGCTGTGAGACCCTGTCTTGAAATACGAACAAGCAAAATGCACGTGACACAATTCCAGAAGAGAACAAGAGCCTCACTCCTCGGTGGCATTTCACTCCTCCATAGGTGGCAACGGTGTCTTCGGAGAACAGCATCTGCTTGGTACCCCAGGAGGTAAACAGGTGGGGCCGAGGGGGTCAGCCAGTTTGGGACATCCTGGTCTGCTTTTCTGTTGCTGTGATAAAACACTGACCACAAACAACTTGGAGAAAGAAAGAATTCCCTTCATCTTACACCTCCCAGGCCATGCTCCATCACTGAGGCAACTCAGGGCAGGAAGTCCACCTGGAGGGAGGCACTAGCAGAGACCGTGGAGCAGCACTGTTCACTGGCTCACTTTTCATGGCTTGCTCAGCTAGCTTTCTTACACAGCCCAGGACCGCCCACCTAGGAATGGGACCCCACACTGGGCTGGGAGAAGATGTTCCACAGACTTCGGTAGGCCAATGTGATGCTGGCACTTCCTCAACTGAGGTTCCCTCTTCTCAGGTGACCCTTCCAAGTGGCAGGTGAGAGGCCCGTGGGGTGGGATTTCCTCGTCTGGCAGATTTGGAGACTGGACATTGAGTTTTGAGCAGGTCGGTGCCCGCTCACTTAGTCACTGGTATGGTTTAGATCTGGAGTATTCTCCTGATGCCTGTGTGTCAGAGCCCTGGTCCCCAGCCTATTGCTTTGGGGAAGTGGTGGAACCTTTAAGAGGTCACTGGGGATCCTGGGAGCCCGGTCTCCTCCTCTTTCTCTCTCATGTGCTGATTGTAAGGGGAGCAGTTTTGTTGTAACTCTCGCTGTGCTATGCTCTATCTTACAGTGAGCCCAGAGCCGGGAGCTTTTGAACTATGAGCCAAAATAACCCTTTTTTCTATACATTGAGTGTCTGTGGTGCTTCTCTCAGGGATGGAAAGCTGACTGACGTATCACCCCCACAAAGGTTTTGTTTTCACCCTGGCTTGAGTGTGGTCCCTCTGCCACCCTCATAAGACCTTGGGGTTAGCCCTTGTCTTGTTCTTGTGGTCTCTGGAGGATTTGTAGCATATCCTCTGTAAGGCAGCTGTGTGCTGGTCCCTTCAGTCAGTCTCCTGGGCCACAGCCCAGGATGCCCAGGACCTCAGTGCACCGAGGAACCTTCATATCCGTAGTATGAAGACCAAGAGGCTGAACCTTCACAGCTGGAGGAGCATGTGAACAGATAGGAAGCAGGGAGGGGCATAAGGGTGACCAGGAACTGGTGTCCTGCTTTCGTCTGAGGCATCTGCGTGTCCTTGGCATTTTCACACTTGGGTTTTTGTCCACTTCTTGCAGCCTGTCAGTGACTTTTACCCCCATCCTACAGAGGGCAGGAGGCACCAGAAGGTTTAAAACTTACCTGAGTGCTGGGCATGATGGTACACACCTATAATCCCAATTACTCTGGAAGCTGAGGCAGGGGGATCCTTGAGCCCAGAAGTTTGAGATCAGCCTGGGCAACACAGTGAGACCTTGTCTAAAAACTCCTAAAATAATACATTTTCATGAGAAGTGAAGGAAACTTGCCCAGTGTCGCCCAGCTAGAAGCAGCACTACCATTTACACCCCTTTCTTTTTGTTAATGGACACACAACCCACTCAACATAGTATATGCTCCGTGTTAAAGTACGGAGTTCGGTGGCTGTATCACAGTCTGTCTCCGTTGGGGTCTCTATTGCTGTGAAGACACCATGACCACGGCAACTCTTAAAAGGAAACATTTAATTGAGGTGGCAGCTTACAGTTTCAGAGGTGTAGTCTGTTATCATGGCAGGGAGCATGGCCGCTCTGAGTATGGCGGCATACAGGCAGACATGGTACTGGAGAATTCTACATCTTGACCCAAAGGCAACAGGAAGGGAACTGTTTCAATGGATGTGGCTTAACCATATATGAAACCTTAAAGCCCACCCCCACAGTGACACACTTCCTCCAGCAAGACCACACTGACTCCATGAAGGCCTCACCTCCTAATAGTGCCACTCCCTTTGGGGGCCATTTTCTTTCAAACTACCACATAGTATCACCTAATCCCAGAGCACTTTATCTCCTCAAAAAGAAGCCCCCTACCCACTGGCTATCCTTCCCTGCAATGGTTCAGATAAACAATATCCCCTAAAAGTCCATATGTGAAGGTTTGGTCTCAGGAGTGGTGGTTCTAGACAGTGCTGTGGACTTTAGTAGGTGAGAGGTCATTTGGGGATTGGGAAGTCTGTCTGCCTGTCTGTCTCCATCCCCCTCTCCTCTCTGCTGGCTTATGACATTACAACTCGGCCCAACGTGTTTCTTCCCCATTGTTCCTCACTGTCCTGTCTCATCAGAGACTGTCTGAGTTACTTTTCTGTTGCTGTGACTAAACACCATGACTGAGGCAACTTAGAAAAGAAAGCGTTTGGTTTGGGTTTTGGTTTGAGAGGGTTAGAGTCCTTAGTGACAGAGCAAAGGAGTAGCTGAGAGATCGCTTCTTGATCCACAGCCACCAGGCAAAGAGAGACTGGGAAACTCACAAGTCTCTTGAAACCTCAAAGCCTGCCCCCCAGTGGCACCCCTTCTCCAACACCACACCTCCTAATCCTTCCCAAACAGCTCTATCAACTTGGGACCAAGTGTTCAAATATGTGTGCTTATGGGGGTCATTCTCGTTCAAACCACCAACGAGACCATAAGCAATTCAACCCCTGATCTTGAACTTGAACCTCCAGACTATAAACTAACCTTTTCTCTTTATCACTTGACTGCCTCAGAACCACAGTCACACAAATCTGACTAACACACACCATTTCTCTCAATTCTCTCTAGTCCCAGGTAACTGCTAAATTATTCTTTATGGATTTGCCTATTCTGAGCATGTCAATAAATGAGATCTATACAATACTTGCCTCTTATGTATGGCTTCTTTCACTTAGCAAGTTTTCAAAGTTCATTCACATTGTAGCATGAGTTGCTACTTCATCGCTTTGTGTAAATACAAGCATTTATCCAGTGTATGGATTCAGACATTTTCTCCATTCACTCATAACCCAGGTCATTGTAGCCCCCAAGCCAAATGTTTTTTTAGGTGGCTTCAGTACCAGCCACGTGGCCTTAGGATGTTAGGAACTATGATATTGCTAGTGTCTCTCATCTTACTTATGACGATGTTATGCAGGTTAATGACTACACAGCTGGGGGTCTGAAGGGCCACCAAACCAGAAGAAGGCTCAAAGGGCAGGTTGAAGGCTGGAACAATCTCAGTAACAGAGTGCCTGCCTAGCAGGTGAGGTCCTAAGTTCACAATCACCACCTGGAAGAAGTAAAGGAGAGGAGAAGAAGGTACTGATGGTGACAGGTTGACCCCTGAAGTGGGGATGCTAGGACCCCTGTCTTGCACCTTAGGGGTTACACTTAGACTCAAGGTGAAGTTTGCTGAGAGGTGGGCTCAGAACCACTCCTTAATGTTGGTAGTGATAATTGTTTAAAAGTAATAACTTGCTGGGCATGTGGCTCACTGGGTAGAGTGCCTGCCTAACATGCCTAAGGCCCTGTACTCAAATCACCAGCATCACATAATATGGAAGACATGGTGAGCCATGCCTGTATTCCTTCCACCCAGGAGGTAGAGACAGTAGGGTCATCCTCAGCTACATGTGAAGTTTGAGAGTGTCTCATAAAAACAAGAAAGTAGTAATAATGTCAATTGTGAAAGCTCAAAACAGCCAGCCACGTACCTGGCTAGCTGGCTCATCTCTTATGTACCCACTATGCACCTAACCTCCACTGGGGATTGGGCTTGCCTAGGAGTCACTTCACTGTTGACATTCATAACAGCGACCTCTGGGTAGCTGCATTAGTAAACTGAGGTCCAGAGAGCTGAAGAGACTTAGCAAGTCACACAGCTATTAATCAAAGGTCTGTGTGATGCTCTGCACCTAAGGGCAAGGCCTTACACAGGGATGTCTTTTTGAGAGAGCCCTCACCCCTCCATCGCACTTTTTTTTTTTTTTTTTTTTTTT